TTGATAAAAAAAATTATTTTTTGTTCGAATAGTTACATTTACGGGGTGTATATTGTTAATTGATTAAGAAAAATTTAAACAGATACCATTTTATAATCAACTCGTACTATTAAAAAAAATTGGAGTTTTATCTCTTATATTACATTGGAGAGTATTGGGGGTTCCTCTTTGTCACAATAAGAAGTGCTGGATGGACCCATCAACACAAACTAAATTATTCATTATTGGTGGGTTTCGAACACATGTTTTAAGGTATATATGACATTTTTATAGGCATAATATAGTACCATTTCAACAATTTATAATTGGTTGATAAAAATTGGCAACTATCTATTTGGGTAACCATTGATATATATTTTGAGGGATTTTTAGCACTTTTAAGAATTTTCTTTTTGAAATGTCGATAATCAATAAACCTTTGAACGCGTTTGAAAATATGTTCTATTTATACATAATTTTAATTTTAAAGTTTTATTTGAACACATTAAGTGATTTCTATAGTAAAAATATATTCAGATGCAAACTGTTGCATTTACGGTGTGTGTTATGTTAATTGATTAAGAAAATTTTAAACATATATCATCTTATAATCAGCTCATATTATTAAAAGAAAACTTGGAGTTTTATCTCTTATATTACATTGGAGAGTATTGGGAGTTCCTCTTTGTATCCATAAGAAGTGTTGGACGGACCCATCAACACAAACTAAATTATTCGTTATTGGTGAGCTCGGAACACGTGTTTTAAGGTATATATGACATTTTCATAGGCATAATATAGTACCATTTCAACAATTTATAACCGGTTGATAAAAATTGGCAACTATCTATTTGGACCATGGCTCACCAATACAGATGCTAATGAGCCAATTACTATATAGGTCACCGAATATCGATAAATTAAATTCATGTTGTTGCATAGCTCGTGTAATTTTAGGTTTGTTTTCATATATATCTCGCCAACGAATAAGCATCGTGGGCATTCTTTGGCCTGTCACTACGACAATACTAATATTAAACATTTGCTCTCCAACTGGGGTCGTTGTAACTCACTTGATGGTGCAACACTCTCTATGCCTCGATCTCTCAGTCATACCTACGTGTAGACATTGACAACAATAATCCGCACATTTAAGCTTCACACTTAGTGGAAATAAACACAAATGGATAATGACATAATTTTTTTTATGATAAATTCTAAATCTAATCCTAATCCTACCTTGAGGTGCGGGGAGGGGAAGGGAGACTCTAGTGGGAGGGAAATGCTCCTAATGAATCTAAAACCTATAATCTAAGAGAATATGAGAAAACAAAGATGAGTAGCTTGGCCAACTAACCAAATATGTTTGCTCGTGACATAAATTTTGAAATGAATAATTAATAAATATGATATGTAATAAAATGCACAAACAATGTTTCATTATGAAGTATCTTGCTTAACTTTTTCACGTGACATTCTTGAAAATTATTTTACACAAGCATGATCATCGTGAAAATAAGTAATATACATATCACTGCAATCTATCTTTTAAAGAGTCCTAACATTATACTCACGTGCGATGGTGGTGGTGCATGATGGCGGCTCCGGGTAACCTTTTCGTTCATATTTTTGGACCGCCAGATCAATTAGAGTTATGTCCGATCCAAACTAGGCCAGACCAAGAGGGCATTCTTTGTAAAAGGAAAGCCCTGAACAATGTTGCCTATCCGTTACCAACAATCATAAGAAGATGAATCGTACTGAGATGAGTGTGTCATGTCGTTTATGTTGCTCCTCCTTTTTCTTTTCTTTTCCTCATCGTATACTCCTGTAGCGCTGGAGGTTCAGTTTGCAGTTGGACTGCTGAAGAAGGTCGAGGTTGTGCATGCGAGTTTTGTAGCTCGGTCTGCAGTCATTGACCAGAAAAACCAAGTACATCGGGGGAGATTTTAGGAAGATGATGGGGGTGATATAAGATATTTTGCCATTAGGGTGCATCTCGACTAATTTTTTTCTATTATGAGGTGTTACGTGCTAATCACGCCAACTGTTGATGGTAAAATTTGGATTGTGGTGAATATAGATGGTTCACCTTTTCTAATTTGGACAAAGAGTTGTAGTTAATGATTTGGGAGAATTAAAGATGGTCGATGTCGTCTGGTTTAGAAGATTTGAAGAGTGTGAGAAAGTAGAACCTAAGAAGAAGAAAACCTCCTTTTATAGTTTTGGCCGAGGGATTTTATAGTAACCTTTAACGCTAACGTTAGGCCTAGGATAATGTGAGCCTACTATAGGTAAATCAAAGAAGATAACTAGTCAAAGGGTATAAAACCTTGTTTTGGTCGACGGAGGGGACCCTTTGGAAGCCTCTTTTTATTCCAGGGACTTTCCAAAGACGTTAGTTCAGCCTTTGGAAGCTCACTTCAGTTAAGCGTTTTCAAAAACCTTAAGGTATCGATACCTATGCTCTATTTTGAGGGAAATAACTCAAAAGGGCTCATATTTATTCTGTATGTGTCGACTATTTAATTGCCAATATGTGGACATTCTATTAATCTTAGTGTAATGTTATGATGAATGACATTAAACGATATTATTACTATGCAGGCATTAACTTACTATGTTGCCTTAATGGCCTAAACTAGTTAATTTGAATACCCGATATTATATTTATTTGATCCTACCGAAACATGACTATCTGATAAATATGAGAAATGATATGTATGTTAAGTGTGTCTAAGTAAGGATTGCTTGATTCATAATATGTGGTAAATTTTCCAATTTACTTATTATTTATATTGTGACTTGTATACTTACGTTTATAAACTTCATAGTCTAATGACGAGGAAAAAACATGCAACATGGTATTATTTAACTGCCTCAAGTTTTCTGTCGTTTTTTTAATATGGAAATACTAAATTAGAACAATGAGCTAATAATTCATAGCAACTTTAGAAAAGTCCAGCACGTAGTAAGATTTAAAAAAAAAATAGAATCTAGGATGATTATAAGATAATTAACAACACATAACCTGTAGGCATACTTACTCAAACATACACAATCTGCAATCATAATTGTTCGAATTCAGAATTTAATAATGACACTCTCTTTTATTATATATAAAGATAATTTATACATAACCCAAATCTTTAAAGATTTCGAAAAAGAAATCAATTAATTTTGTTTTGATCATGCAACTATATCTTTACATGCTTGAAATTGGTGGTGTCTGTCAGTGTACAAATTTAATTAAAACTTCTGGCCTACCACCCACAAGCCTTTACTAATTTAAATTATTGGAAACAAAACAAATTAAATTAGGAACCGCAGAAGCAGGAATTAATAAAAAAATGTACGCTCTTTTTTTTTATAGAGTAGGTACCGAAGCTTGAAGCTAATTGTCCCAGAAAGAAACTACATCTCAATTCCATTATCAAAATAAATAAATCTCCAATGCAAAGAGCCTTTTCATTTTTTTTAATTTCCACACCCAAACAATTTAAATCGTCATCAATTTTTGTATTTTGAAAAACAACAAAAATCTTAATCGATTAATAGATTAAATACTGATAATTATATTAAAAGAAACACAGCCCAATCATGTCTTTTAATATTATTATTTTGGTTGGAAAAATGTTACATTTGCTTTTGGAATAATCCATGTAACCTTTTTTTCTCCCTCAAGAGATCAGTTTTCAACTCTAGGTAAACCTCCAACAACAAAGCCCTTTCAGGGAATAATATAAAAACTAGGTGACTGTGAATATATTTTCAATTGCATGCTCTCGAGTATAATTTTTTTAATAATTTGAGATGATCAGATGATTATAAGGTAATATATGTTCATATATTTTCTTAGTCTATTAGTAATATGTACATTTTACAAATGCAACTGCTTGAATTCAGAACCTTTAGGGAGAATAACACTTCCTTTTATGGCTAAGATCACTCAATGAGTTATGATCCCAAGAATATTAACAATAATATAAGAGCTGAAAACATAAAATGAAGATGGTAATGAGAAGTATTTAAATTTCCTAATGTATATGATGCCTGGAGGAGGATATATATAAAGATTTAGAGATTACAAAAACTGTACTTAAAAAGAATATATTCTTGTGGTTGAGAAAACATGGAAGCAGATGGATGAAGTTGTCAGAAATTGTACAATGGGGGGACCTCTCTGCTTGCATGCAAGTATTCATGTTCATTGAATATTTGTGGTGTTTTTCTGTTTCCAAATAAGTTTGGTTTTCGTACATTTTCCATTTTACATATTATTTCATTTATAGTGGAATCTTTTTACCTCATAACTACACCCTACAATTATCCCTTTTTTTAATTGAATAAACATAAAATCTCATGTTTAATGATATAGTTTTCAAGAAATTATATCGAAAATTAATTAACTCAGCCACTAATTCCTCTTAAATTTTTTTCTCCTATTCAATACACAATATTATTTAGGGGCGAATAAAAGAGGTGATTTAGACGCTCGCCCTAATCTTACGTCCATGATACTATCACTTTGATACCCATGGTGTCAACTATCAACAACCACCTCTCCAACTTTCCCATCAACAAGATTTTATAACTTAATTTTTGGACACCAATGAATACATTAAATGATTCGTTTCAGGCTTAGAGACACTGCATGAAAACCAGGTAGCCTAAGGGCTCAAACATTCATTTCTAATTGTCTCATTCCAAAGACAGGGAAGCTTGTCTTTATATACCACGCTTAGAGTTGCAAAATTATAGATTTTTCCTGTTTTTCTTTTTCTTTTTGGGATTTCAACTGTCTCAGTTTCATAAATTTTTACTGCAAAAGATGTTTCATTGTACGACAGGTTAGACATAATTTATTAAAACACTAAAATAAATGCACTCTACTATGGACTCTGTTGTCATCAGATACTTTCCTTTCTCCTTTTTCTTACTTTTATTCAACTGTAATTTGATAGGTAAAATTTGTTCATGCTTTAAGAACTAAGTAGTAAATGACAAGAAAGTTACAAGAGAAGATTGAAGGAACAAAATATACAAGTCAAATTATTATGTTTAGTAGGAAATTATTTGAACCGGGCATCATTCAAATCAAACCAGATTTGCTTGAAAACCTTGATGATAAGAGCATGATATTCATCAGAATTGAGGGAAAGGTAGCAAGTAAGCAAATCTTCCAAATCCTTTGATGCCCTTATGTTGTTCTCCCTAATCATTTCCACCATTGATTCCCTGAAATCTTTCTGAGGATCGAACGACGGCTTCACCACCGCAAAACTCCCAGACAGACTCTTTCTCGAGCTTATACTTGAGTTCGAACCTGACGATACGCTTTTCCGAGAAAGACCCTCGAATTTTCGGCTTCTGATTTTCGGAGAATTTATTCTCAGCCTTATACCTGGAGAATTCACACAATTTTTTCTCCCCGGTGACGTTTTCTTGTTTTCTTTTAACAAGTGTGAACCATGAACATTGTCTTCTTCAAATTTTGTTGAAGTCCTTGGATGATTTGTTGGTTCAATGTTCTGTTCTTTCTTTTGGTTTAATTCGACGGGCTTGGTTATGATCCGAGGGAGTTGAACTTCGGAGAAGTTGTCGAACTCGTCTAGCTTTTCGAATTTCTTGACAAAAGACTTGTCATCGTCATCGGCAACAACGATGTCCTTGGCTTCAGAATTCATGGCTTTGCAGCTAGAAGAGTGCGACAACGAAACCATTTTTTCAAACGATCGAGTCGTAAGAATACAGTCAGACCTGAATTCTTGCGGCGGAGAGCTACCGTGATCAGAAGAGGAAGAGGCCGAGTATTGCAGCGGAGAATCAGTCTTAGTCCAGAGAGTTGAACGGCAGCGACAACCGGCGGAAACGGAGGAGCTAACAAGCTTTTCATCAGAAGAAGACCTGATGTTTCTTTTCCTGGATCGTTTTTGACAAGATTTTCTGGGTGGATCAAGTGCATGTGAACCTGCAGACTTGACGCCTGTTGTACGAGAAACATAGAATCCATCAGTCGGGACAAGTTCTCTAGTAAAGTAATAAGATTTTCTAGGATAAAAATGGTGGGGCTGTTTGGTTTTTGATGAAGAAGGTGATGAAATCTGGTGTTGTTTTGTATTGCCATGGTTTCTGGGTTTACCCATGTCTTTAAGCTTATAAAACCAGGCATTGGGCATCATATCCGATAATCTAAACCTATAATTACCCATCAGTTTTTCTCTGTTTTTCATGGGAAAAGGTGAGGCTATTTAAAGAAGATAGTGGGGGTGGGAGGGAGAGAGAAATAAAGGCAAAAAAGGAGTGGTGTTGTTAATGAGTAGACACAAAACTTTTGTATACAAATTCATGATTAATGTTTTTGTTTACATCTTAAAACAAATATGATTTTGCTTTATAAAATTTTGCCAGGGGCCCTACCATCTATGATTTCCACCGTTGCTTTGTGTCTTCTAATCTCTTAGATTGCTTTCCAATATATATAATTCAGTTTATTTTGTAATATGATACTTATAACTTTTAATTTCGAATAACCTATTAAGAGAGAATGTTATTTGTTTTATAGATTTTAAGTTCGAACAAATATATATGTAAAGTATGTATTTTTTTATCAATAATTAAAAAATTCAATATAAATTTTACATTATAATCACCTATATTGTTAAAAATAATTTAATTTCGTATATTAGCGTGGTTGTTATAACTGATAGATTGAATCCGAAATCAAAGGTGTTATTGGTTGAATATTTCTCGTGTAATTTATAATTTTTTTGACAAATTAATAATTTATATTATATAGATTTATGTATATTGTTCTGTATTTAATATTCTTTTTGATTTAATTATTTTTTTATATAATGTTTATATCTTGTATAGTATTACAAAATCCCCACTAACTCCATGCTTGACCTCATTGTTTGAGAAAAAAAAACGCTATGATTAGAGGTGTATTATGAATCTTTCCTCTAATATCTCTATAAAATTAATCTCTACAACGTAAATCCCAAAAGTTTTAGAGACTACAAAAGGATTATATCTCTAAAAGTTAAGACATACTCTCTATTTATACAGTCGAATATTTGATCACCAAGAATTTTTCTTCAATAAGTATTCTTACTAAATAAACTTAGTTACCAAGTAATCTTCAATCAATATAATTATAACAACATCCAGCTTAATTTCTAATTACAATTTGAGCTCATATATAATAATATCCAATTTAATTACCAACTAATTTAAATAAGATATTACATATATATAATATGAAAGTAATTTCTCACAACATAATATATTTTATTCACAATATTAAACTTTAAACTCTAAATATTATGTAAGTGATTTAATACACATTAAACTTCAGAGTTAATTAATCGAATTCAATGACTTTGTTGAAATTTTGAAGGCAAATTAACAAAATATAAACGAATACAATGAATTTAGTTGTGGATCTAAGATTCATAGGACTATCAAAGAATGATCTTTCATTTGTGAGACTTAGTTGCAATATGGAGCGAGTATAATTTTAAAAATTTACAAATCGACCTTAACAAAAATTAAATGAATGCTTTCCATTTATGCCGGCAACATTGTTCTTGATGTACCAATGCCGGTAGTCATCATCATTGAACTATCCACGATATCATTCATATCCAAACCGGCAGTCCATCTTCGAAGAACCCTCAAAAGCGTAGCCGCCTTCCGTTGAGCTCTCATTGTTCTTGTCCCCATCATTTCCCATATAATCTTTTCAATAGACGGAATCGTCGCCAACTCTGCCACAACCTCCGATCCCCCTTTTCTACAAATTGTAACTAAAGTAGCCGCCGCGCTTTCACTTGCAATTTCCGAACCTTCTCTCAAAGTAACACCCAGTTTCATTATTGAATTATAAGACGCTACAATTGCCGCCAAGCCACCTCTCTTCACCACCGCCTCAAGTATCGTCACCGCTTCTTCCGGAAGAACGTTAATGAGTCCAGTGGCAAGCTCAACCACACCTCCTTCCACTAATCTCCCAACGGTCTCCCTACTCCCGCCAAATTCAAAATTGCCACGACTGCATCTCTTTTGGAGTCCGTGGGCTCGTCTTTTGCCAAATCCAACAATCCTTTGATTACGCGTGTCTTCCTCCCTAGCCTTCTCCTGACGCGTGCACACCGGATAAGCTGAATATTGTAGCGGCCGCATTTCCTTTGGCCTCCCAAGTGGTACCCGAACGTAACACCTCGATAACACCGTTTAAAGCTCCGTCAATTTCCATGATCCTCGTTTTTGTTTGCTTCTAGAATAGACAGATTGAGAATCGCTGTAATGGCATTGACTTGGAGGTTTGGATGATCAGAGCCTACACCCGAAGCAAAATAGCTGACGAGGATCGGTATTGCCCCAGCTTCGGCGATGAAGACTCGGCTATCCGAGTCAGTTTTAGCGAGGGCACGAAGCTCGAAAACGACGGCGTTAGCCGCCTCCATAGACGGTGAAACCGATAGTTTGTTGACCAAAAACGACCCCGTCATTTTCGTGGCTTCAAAGGCGGCTTTGGTGGCTTTAACGCCGTTAACTTTATCGTTACTTCCCGCGGTTTCAAACGGGAGTCTTTGTTGGCGGCACCACATGGTTATAAGATTCCTCAAAGCGCGGTTAGGGATGAGGTTGGTGTGGGTCAGGGTCTGACCTGTTTCTGGACACGTGTTGTGTCCTGATTGAATCCATTGATGAATTGACTCCCGATCGTACGTCTGTCCGGAAGCCACGACTACTGGGTCCCGCATCAACTCTAAGATTATCGGGCACCGAAAGTCCACCGGAGCTGTAATATCCGACATCGATTTTCGCCGCCGGTAGTCTGGTTTCTCCGTCGTTGAAGATCTAAACAGAACACATTTAGCGTAACGAACGAGACCGATCAAAGAAACAATCTCCGATTTAGACTTTTCATCGATTTGGTTCTGGATTTCTTGTTGGAGACTCTCGATTTCTTCCCTGCAACTTGAATCGTCGCGTAACCCTATATCCTCCAGAATCCGTTTAAGCTTCAAATGATCCGGGACAATCTCTTTCTTAATCAGTTCGAGCAAAGCTAAAACGTCTCGTCTGAGAAAATCGTCGTTGGGATCCACCGATGGTTTTGATTTGGAGCACCGCTTTCTTACCAAAACAACGAGTTCCTCCACGTCTTGACTCAGATCAAATTCTTTGACGGGGAAGATGTCGAGGAGAGTGGATAATTCGAGGTTGAGCTCGTGGAAACTGTTGGCCAAATGTGGGATTAGCATGAGCAGCCACATCTTGATTCCATTGGAACAATCTTCGATCAAAGTTCTAATTCTCTGTAAAACAATGTACATTTCTTCGAAGCAGAGGAGCGTTGAAGTAGAGAAGAAGATAGTATATGGGTCTCGAAGAAGCTCTTCGAACAATATTGCAAAAAGCTTGGACTTGTTTATAGTGGAAAGGGATTTTCGTATTAGAAGACATTGAAGAGGTTTAAAGGCAGAGATTTCCCGAGACAAAGAAAGAAAAGAATTGACCAGGTTTAAGTCTGCTAATCTCGGAGATGGCGCCGGTCGGCGCTTTCTAGGAGGGAGAACTAGAGGGGAAACGGTCATGGAAGACAGAATATTACTCCAACACAAAGAACTGTTGCAGAATAATAGTCTGCAAAGATAGATATGTGGGCTAATGGGAGATGAAATTTGGTAGCTTTTTTGTAAAGTGTTTGAATTGAAGAAGATAGAGCAGTAGTTGATTACAGGTAAAACCTCTGTTTTGAAAACAGGACCGGACAGGTCGGTTCAACCGAAAATCGTTGTTTAGTCCGGTTTAATTTAAATCGGTTAAACCGTTCGAATTGGACCGGCTAAAAATCGGGTTTTTTTTTTAAAAAAATTAAACCAAACAACGTCGTTTGTTAAACGAGCCAAGTCGAACTCGAGTATTGCTGAGCTCGACTCGAACTTGAAAACTTTAAAAGTAAGCTCAACTCAACTCAAACTCACAAGCTAAAAATTATCAAGTTTAACTCAAACTCGAAATATAATATTGAAACTTGAACTTAAAAAGGCTTGAACTCAAAAAAAAATTAGAAGCTCGATTGAAGCCTAAAATTCGAGCTTGATTGAAGTGAAATAATAGTTCACTCAATGCTCACCAAAAGGCTCCATGATTTTGAATGTCAAATTACCTCTATTATTTATAGAAGTTAGTTGTGATGCGCTTCTATGTTTTTTAGCAATGTGAGATTGTTTTGTTTTCATATTTTTACTCTTTAGACTTTTGAGATGCTCTTCTATGTTTCTTAGCCATGTAGGATTGTTTTAAAAAAAATTAAACCAAACAATATCATTTTGTTATGATTTTTTTAACCCCAAATTTATTTTTTTAATTATAGTTATATAATTATATTTATTATTTAATATGTTTTACCTTAAATATTATGTTGTAGCTAATTTGAATCATTTTGTTTCACTTGATTTTATGATTTTTAACTTATATATGTTATGACTTGCTTTGAATATGACTTGTGATATAAAAAAATTATTTTTATTAAATATTTTTTGTATTTTTATTTAATTTTTTAAATAATTATGATATCGTCCGGTTCTTCCGACTGGTCGAATCGATTCGACCGGTTGAACCAATGAACTGGTAGCATGACCGATTCGCTAACCGGTCCGGTCCTGAAAACGTAAAACAAGTTGGCTTGCATTTCAGTTTCTATAAAAGATTAAGAAAATATTTTATCTTTCTCCCACACTCTTTCCTATGTTACAATAACTAAAATTTATTAACTTATGCAAAGGAATTAAATTTAGTGATACATTTTTATCTTTTTAGGATATTTTCATTTTGGTCCTTGAACTTCTAAAACCTGTATTACATGGTTGTTAGTTGTTATTAGCTAAATTAATTCACTTTCTTTACGGTCATGTCGTTGATGTCGTTATGAAATATTAATGTGGCACATTAAAGTCTTTTTCCCCCAAAATAACCTTAATTTTCTAAATTGGCAATTGTGACTAAGATCAATTTTTTTATTAATGGAGCGATTATCGGTCAATTCCAACAGTAAAAGTGTTATGTCTATACAGAAAATTAACATGATTTAATTTCAAGTTGATTCAACAATTAATAGTGGCGACACAAAAAAAATCAGCTTTTAGTTTCTATTGAACTGTCGCCTCCTTTCATCATTGTTTTTGTCATCGTTCAATAGTTTCTTAAGTCGAAAAGATCATCAACTACTACTCT